TCGCAGCTCGTATGCCTAAATGCCGTTGTTGCTTCATTCAGGATCAGAACGAAAGTGTCCGCTTGGAAGGGCTGTGTTGTATCTCATCTTTGGTCGACGCTTGCCATAGTCTTATTCCCTTCCTCCTCAATTCACGGCTTCCAGAAGTATTGGCTTTGGAATTTCAAACCGTTGATTCTACGCTGACGGATTTGCATTTAATCGCCCTAAAACTACTCACGAAGATTTATTCAACTGACAGACCGCCTCCCCTCAACCACTTCGGTATGCGCGAGATTGGTTCGCAATATAATATTACAAGGATATGAGCTAATCTCCACTTTTACGGTCGAAAATTCTCGTCATTTATTATATCTAAAAGTTTTTAGAATTAGAATGAAAATGGTATGTGCTAACCTCTGCATTTCGACCAAATACCAATACGCTATTGAACTGGGAACAGCGAAGGAATTCTACTTTCTTATTATAGAGTTCTTCGATTGGAATTTCTTCATGAAGATTATTGGACATCTGAAGGAGCATCCGTCCGAGATACTTGACTACATGGTTAACTTTAGCTATCTTATCCCAGAAGGCATTGATAACGCGGTGGTACTCGCACTGGAATCTAACCCTTGTCCGCTTCTTGGACAGCTTTTGGTGAAAGTTGTAAACGAAGAAATAAGCGGTATGTTCACATTTTTTTTCTCAATTGAAACGTTAGTTGTTCATAACTTTAGATCGCCGGCTCAAGTTCTTCATAGACATTGTTGAACATGGTGCTTTGTACAAAGAATTATTTTATGAAAACGATCTCGACGTCTTGTCGCATGTAGTTGCAAGAGAACTTGGGAACTCTGAAGTTGCACAAGTTTGTTAAACGTTACAGTATCGCACGCCTTTCACATTCTTGCTGTTGTCATAATGACATTATTTAGGTTCGTTCTCGTTGCATGGAGTGTATTGCCCGATTGGCAGAAATAGGTCACTGTGATCGAATGGTACGGGAAGCCGTCGAAAACTTCGATCTCGACGAAGAGTTGCGTTCACAAACTTTGGCAGTCATAAATAGGAATCACTCTTGATCATTAGTTTTAGTTGTAGCATTCTAGTGCTTGTGCTGTGATTAGATACCCGGTCATTCCAAGGTTGTGAACGAGGCTTGTTTAATGTTTATATCAAAATTGCTGGCATTTATAATATGTACATTTCATGCTACCCATTCATCATAAAGAGCTATTAGTATCCTACTTTCAACTATACTATAACCGTTTCCACCTATTCGGTGGCCAAATGATATGGGTAGCTCGATTCTTCACCAGACCTCGACTTACCTGAAATGACTAGTAGTACATTAATTTCATTGAGATACCGGCGATATTTAAAGGCACATTTCGCTGCCATAAACTGAAGTTATTTTCCTCGACAATGGAAGTATAGGTGCGGTGGACCATTAGTGAAGAAAAAACAGAAGAAACTAGTAAAATTGAGAATCTCCTACTTTTGAGTTAGCTAGAACCCACAAAGATCACTGAGTGGCGAGGAGATAGAGCACAAGCAGAGGAAACTGGTGGCGAGTGAGCCACAGAGACTAACGCATTCGCAGGGGGGGAGGGCGGCCTGAGCCAAAAATAGTAAATCTCTGGCGTCGTGGAACACGCTTTCAATCAACGCGGCACCATCTTTGCGCTTGACGACCCTCCCATCTATTCTCGTGAGAGATCATTCCATTCATCCCAATCCTGGACCCCTTGAAGGTCCTTTCAGGTAAATTTCCGGGAACCACGTTGGAAAGCATAACTATAAGAAGCCGCTTAACAAACCGGACTTTGTGGACGCGCTCGATAAACTTCACTTATACAGCTCTTGCAGAAATGGCTTAGTAAACCGGTAATTGCTTTTCACTTGCCCGCCCTTTACTACAGCGAGTGTAGTGTCGCGTCCATCTATACACGCTCAGAGAAATCAGTCTGACACTTCTGGAAGGTAGGCTTGGGAGATCTTTTCCCAGTCCCCCTAGTCCCTACAAGACGAATGAGTTGATAGGTAGATCGATAGCGCAAACACATCCGTAGTAATGTCGGTCTATAAGTCTTCAAATTTCAATCCTTACGGGCCACACCATAACGCCATCCAAAAACTTTTGGATCCCACAATTCGTAAGGCTTTTTAGAGCCTCGGGAAAGCCAGAAGTGTAAACAAACTTGATAAATTTTGATCAGGTCATTGTGCACTCACCGGTCCGTAAATATTAACTGTCGTTGGCGTTCACCGGATTATCACTTTCCATCCAGCAACAGCCTTTCGGAACAAGAAGCAGCTCATTTCGATGTTTCGGCCTTGAATCATCAAACTAATTCGACTTAGTGAAAGGGCTTACAGGACATAATACTTACTTGACAATGTCTCCTTCAAGAGCCGTTACTCGCTTGATGTGCACCATATCGGTTCTCGTGGAGATCTGAAAACCAATGCAAGATCTTCTCGCATTCCAAAACTGTTCAAGTGGAAACGTTAAAGGTGATCCTACATAAAAGTGAGGACGTCGCCAATTTTTGGAGTACGAATACCCCATGGACTGAGCCAAACCAGGTCTCTGGCCCCACCATCGCATCGGATCCCTCGAGAGTTGGCGACATCGATGCTCCTGTGACCACAGCTGGATGTCCCACGATATGTCAAAGGTGGTTACCGCAACGCAGACACTCGAAGCGAGCCGCACTGTAAAGCGCAGCATCGTGGTAGGACACGTGCCCCAACTATGTTATTAACGCAGTCCTTTCCGAAAGTTAGAAAATGAAGTAGAGACACAACTTGAAGATGCGCCATTCATTCGATCAAGAGGCACACGGAGCATGACGAAGAGCATTATGCAGCAATAGCATAGCGAGAAGCACTGCTGATATTAAATGGACAAATAATGAAAAATCCCATTGAACTCTGTGAAAGCGTGCAGTAAATACTAATGAAGCACATCTAATTGGGCGACGTACTTTTGTGAAAGAAAAACTGTTGCGAGCAAAAACAAAATAACCAAAAGAAGAGCTCCTTAAAAGTTGCTCGGCGATTATAATTGAACGCCAAGCTGAACTATACACCTCAACAAGAGCTATCCAAAGCAGTTACCATAGAACAGACCACAGCTCGCTCATGTCGTTAAGAGGAGGGGGTCATTCAGGTGAGTGAGCCAATCACAGTACCTCGGACTCGAACTAGGCTTTAGAGGGGAGCGGATTCCAAGAAAGCATGTAAGCAACTTTCGTTCTCCCTAGCGTTCTTCCCCCGTCTTGGGCTTAGTCCTAGTGTTACCTACCAGCGGTTTTTGAATGGCCTGTTTTGGACGTCCACACCCCCTCCCTCAAGGGCATGGGTGCCTCCTTTACATTGACCAGAGAGAGGTACCGTGTGAAAACACGTTTACAAATTTCTACATGCTATAGCGAAGTGGACGATATATAAGAAGAAACTACTGGCGCTTGTTCAACTCGTTACTGCAGCCATGATCCGTTTTTCGCAAGGAGGAAGCTCAGGGCAAGTGAACCATACTTGGGCAAGAAGAAAACTGAGTGAGAACAACAAAAATCTACAGTAGCAATAACGTGCTTCACCGATGCCGTGCAGATTTCGTGCTTCACCGACATTTCGCTTGCGTTGCGGCTGCGACCGCGACCTCCGTTTGCGGTGACGCGCGATATTTTTTCATCGTAGGTTGGCCAAAGAACTTTGTTGCTGCTCACGATTGTTTTATAATTCATAATGTTTTATGATTCTGTGGGGGACGTAGTATGTATCTGTTGTTACATCACGGCAGCTTATTCTGGCGTTTCGGGTTGTTTCAGCTCGTTTTGAAAGCTTTTCGTCGTTAAATCAATGAGGTGTCATTGGAATAGAAACTTTCTAGTTCCTGGTTTGAACTCATCCGCCCATTGTAGGTCCAAAGCTTTAAACGATGCATTTGTAGTTCTGTGCGTGCTTTCACGTCTAGCCTCTGATAGGGAGTGGGGGTAACCTTTCATCCAATGCTGCTACACTATTGTAATGACCAGGTTGGTCCCCCGTCAATCGCCGGGACTTCCTTTCCCTGTGTACGCTTTACGTCTTGGAATGACATCAAAACCTAACCAACCTTAGGTCTGTAGGTGATTGGTTTTCTTCCTCCTTTCCCCAAACACCCTCCCCTTCCCCTCCACTGCCCTCCAGCGCTGTAGCACCATGTGAAATAACTGGAAGTGACCTCAGTAGGTGTTTATGTAGCCGTTGGGGTGTTATCACAATCATGCCATTGCAAAACACTAATAGCTAAAGTCCTGTGAGCTACATGATTCTGTTAGCGGTTTGTTTATCCCATGAGCTTCCTTCTCACTGGCCGATGTCAGACTCTGCGATTGGAGCGATCGGTCAAATGCCAATCGCGCGACCATCGCGCGATTCGCGCGATTGACATGACTCCCATCATGACCAATCGCTCCAATCGCGCGATGGGCGCGATCACTCCCGTTGTGGCAGGGCGCGCCCACTCGATCGATGCCTCAGTCAACGTATCGATCGAGGGGGGCGCGCCAGCCACAACGGAGTGATCGCGCCCATCGCGCGATTGGAGCGATTGGTCATGATGGGACTCATGTCAATCGCGCGATCGTCGCGCGAATCGCGCGATGGTCGCGCGATTGGCATTTGACCGATCGCTCCAATCGCAGACTCTGACATCGGCCACCACTTCATTTTGCGGACGGACACACAGACATACTATACATACATACACACATACAGACATACAAACCGACACACAAAGTTAGCGCTTTATAAAATAGAAAGGATTCTTTTTGGAAAGAATGGATAGGTACATAAGTTAATGATTGCTGGTAAAGATTCTCGAGCCAACAGATAGTCCTTCGGCACTTTGTATCAAGTGGTGGTGCTTAATATGAGATATACCAAAAAGGATTACCTACTAACCACAGGACAAAATCAAACGTTTTGATATGGCGCGCTGCTAAAGATGTGGAGTATGGCCAACCTCAAGACTTTATCGTCGTTATTTTACGTTCAATGAATTGCGTCATTCATTTTGCTCAAAAAGCTTTTTGACTTGCTTTTATACGATAAGATGGTGTTTAAAAGCTCCAAAAAGCATCTCCATCTTCAAGAACACATTGTACGTTTTTTGCAGCTTCAGTTGTGGTGAAAAAAAGTCAAAAAAAAGTTACATTTGGGTCACTAGGCATGCTTTTTCTGCGGGAGATCATCCATTCACTGCTGTTTAACACTCGTTGCTAGGGAATTGCCACGGAAACTGCCTTGCAATTCTAGAAAATGCCGTTAGCACAGCGTTTTGGATGGCATGAGGTCTATTCTTTTAATTTGTCTTTTCAAATTCGTATAACTTCGTATAATGTTGCATACGCTGACATCGCGCGTTTTGTGCTTTTGCACCGCGTGGGACAAGAGCGATTTTGCGAGCGCAGCCGCCGCACACCAAATCCATGGATTTTAAGTTGTAAATCCGCAATACTTAGATGCGATGAAATGTTTTCAATGATGTTCGATCTGTCTAGCTTATCAGGAGTTACAGTAATGGAAGTTTGACCGAAATGACGTGTTAAGGCCATGAAAGGGAAATTTTACTTAATTTCCCTTTAGTGGTTCCAAAATTAATTTGGACGTGGTTGTTTCAGTAAAAACACATATCTTCCCATACGAATAGGTTTGTATTCACTTCTGTTATTCCTTTTTATCAACATGTCTACGTTATTGAAAAGACGTTATTGAAAAAAAACGAGGAATGAATGGAACAGACATATCCATAAGGTCTGGAAAACGTCTGCCAAACTAAAGAATATTTGGCCTTTCTGTGAGCCATGTGGTTTTTAAGTATGCTAATGTATGACCTATAGACCGCGTCACAATGTCCCACGAAGTGCGCAAAGCGTCACGCTGTCGTCAACGTGTTGTACGAGATATTTGATTCGTTGATGTTTTCGAAATGTGCTTTCTTCCGGAATTCCGCTGAAATCTTTCTTCCCTCTACTTTTCTTCATGAACGTTTATAAATTTTGTATTTAATCTCTTTCTCTCGATCTCCTCTTTTAATGATCGAGATAGAGTTTCTGATTTGAACCTGTTCAGCGTCAGCCATGACCTCCATGGATATGTCCCTTGATGAGATCATAGCGAAGAACAAGAGGGAAAAAAGAGGAGGTGGTCGAGGTATGTTCTAACAAATTTTGTTCTCATTTTCTTCTAGTTATTCACATATACACATCTTCCTTTCGGCATTTGATCTGAAAATATACTGCCGCCTTTCGTGTGTTTCTGTTTACTTCTATTTGTTATAATTTTATTATTAGCTGGCCCCACTCAAAAAGGCCGTGTGATCGTCCCAGAAGCTCGCACGCCTCTAGCCGCTCAAAAAATGGTTTTCGTCGTCGCGTGAATTTGTCGAAGGCGGAGGTAACGTTGAAAAGGTAGCCTGTTTAAAATGAACATGGAGGCGATGGGTCAGCGATGCAGGGATGAAGAAAAATCATGAGAAATGGCCCAGAATCCGAGAAATGGGGCTCCTCTAGCTGGTAATTTTTGCATCATTGCGACTCTCATTTCTGGCCTCTGTAACGATCATGTTCTTCCTGCTAGACGGAAGTCAGACGGTAAGAGGATTTGCACGCCGCGGCCCAAGCGACGCAGATATGGCTCTGCTGGCCGCTAAGGGCATACTGTTCGCTACGAAACGCGCACCGTCCCGCAACCTCGGAAGACTCGCTTGCCTTTAGACGGATGCGATACAAGAGTCCCCCTGGGGTCGCCGCGCAAGCGAAAGGTAGGTCACCGCACGCGGCGGCTACCGGTCCTTACAAGTTGGAACGTGGCAATTTGCTAGGACTAAGCAAAAACAAATGCAGAAATGGGGACTACACAGACGGAACAAAAAAGTGTTGTATCGATCGTCTAGAGAGGCGGATCCTAAACTTGCCAATTGCCATGCTTCAAACTGTAATACGACGTCGCGCGCGGTGACCTAGTTTTAGCGCGGCGGTCGAGGGGACTCTTGACCGTCTCCCGTTTCCCAGCAGCTGTTTTTCCCCTCCTTCCTTTTTTCGACTTCTGGCTTTGTCATGGAATTCTCATTCAAAGCGCAAGCACGCAAAGACAGAAGGGAACCTGGAGTTTTCTACAACCTTTGGACCAGAGAGCTTGCCTATTGGATTTCCGGGACGTAAAACGAAAATCAGGATGATCTCATCCGCAAAAGGTCAGGCTTCATTAAAGCGCTTCACAAGAATGTGAAGTCTTTGTCTCCCTTAGGCGAGAGTAATCCGCTTGAAAACTCTAACGCGCAGTAGAGAAAACGGTTGCTGACTTGATGAACGCGATGCGCAACAGGACAGGATGGTGGTGAGCATCACATAAGGAAATATAGGGTCTCAGGCAATGTTAATATGTAGTTCGAAATCACCCACGCGATTAGGCGATTGGGCGATCAACCTATTAGACTAGAATGGAAGGATATGAGTCGATTAGGCGAATAGGCGAGTACGCGATAGGCGTTATAGGCATGTAAAGTTGCTTACGCATCAATTTGTTTGCTCCGCCTTTTGATATCGCTAATCGTCTGCTTCCTGGAACTCTGACCAATACCCTTGAAATTTTTTATTGCGAAAGTTTTGCTCACCAAATTTACACGATTTCGAAGTTACACGTGGCATTTTAAACGTGCGAATTCTCGTGATTTGCATTCATTTTGCAGGCTTTCGCAAAGGATTCGGAAGAAGCAGTCGATCAGGTGGAGGTTCGGGTGGACGATTCTCTGGAACCAGGCCCTATAAAACATACATTGACTTTGACGCGCCGCCTGTCGCTGTGCGAGGCCCTAAAATTGGAGGTGTGCAGTTTCCTTTATTGTTCATATGCTTATTTTCTACAAATCTATTCAGGGCCAAGCAATCCGAACAAAACTGTCCGAATCAACATTTCTAACCTTGCACCATCAGTTGTTTCCTCTGACCTCGAAGAACTTTTTGTAAATTATCGGATCGAGGCTGCGACTGTAAACTACAACGAGTCAGGTAAACGTATGTGTTGATTTGTCGCCATTATTCTTAACGGATCCACACTGTAAAGTTCTCGCACATAGAGGAAAAACTGAATTGGAATGTGGCGCAGTTATTAGAAAGGCTCCTAAAAACATATGAGGCTGACAACCTATAGGATTTGTTGGAGAGTTATTGGAAAAGACCATGTAATGTTGTACAGAAACTGTTTTTATCTCTGATACTATCTTAACCTTTCTGAGGCTTATTTTTATACGCTTATGATTTGGTTTTTAGTCACTTTTCAATCCTTATTTTTAAGGAGTTTCCGTTGGTACGGGTGATATCTATCTACGTAGAAGTGATGCCGAAAATGTTAACAGGTGAATGGTTAAAATTTTGAATGAGTTTTGCACGGGCACTCTCTTTCTTCACAATTTGGGGCGCGGCCGCAGCGAGCCCGGACGAGCTGGTAGTGTCCGCAAACTGTGCGAGTAAGCTGTCGGGTAGGTTTGGAAACACTCCATCACGCATAGTTTGCGGGCATTATCAACTCGGCCGCGCCCCAAATAGTGAAGAATGTGGGGGAGCCAAGCTGCACAGAGACATCGCTAATTGTTGTTGTGGTGTATTTGTAGTCCTTTTTTTTCTGCGCAAAAGTTCGGGAATGTAGGTAGGTTGCAAACTCTTTTGGCGTTTGGGCTGTTCAACAGATCGCGCCCGCCACACCTCACCGCTCATCTCATGACGCATGGGGACATTTATGTTGTCTATATTTGTTGCGATGTGTCTATTTCGTTTCATAGTAGAAAACATGTCTATTATTACATTTCATCCCCAAAAACAACGTTGAAAGCGATTTCATTCGTGGAATTTCCGTAGATCCAGGGTTAATGGAAGAAAGAGACTGTTGTCCCGCAATGTGCTTAATTGTGGTCGTTTTTTAGGTTATGAGGATGGTATTGGTTGACGGCAGTGAGGCACTCAGCTCAAGGGTGCAACTAGCACCAGTAAATGGAGGTGGTGTAATAAAGAGCTTCAGGAATGGTGGTGAGATTGTTTGAGGAATGAATTATATTTTCCGCTACGCACCGTCACGTTACTATTTGTAGTCAACGCTCTTAGCAACCACTATCAGTCGATTTAATGCTTGTGTGCCGTGAGCCTTCATCTTAATCAGGGCATTATAGCTTAATATAGCAGATAATTACTCGTCGCACCTTTTAAGCGAGGGATTACGATAAGTTTGGACTGGGTTCATAGTGGAAGTGGAGATGCTGAATAATGCCCCAGTGGCGAAAAAAGCAAAGAAATCCGTCAAGAAGGCGCAAAATGGGACCCCTTTCTTTGCCCGTTGACCTCCGATAATGGACGAGCTAGCAACCAATTAGGAGGTCGTTTGCACATGTTATGCTGATAGCCTCTATCATTTCAGCAAGCATCATGCTTTGATTGATCACGCATCCCATGAAAAGTTATAGGATACACTCTGGAAGTGGAATATCTCGTCACATTGGCAATCGAAGGGCGCTGCTGCTGGGGGCGGAGCACAGACCGTGGCGGGGCTCAGAAAGGAATGGCAAGCCTTGTACGCTGCAACTAGCGCACCTTTGACCACAAAAACGCAACATTTCGTTTCCTTGGGCCCCTGACTACTGCTTCCAATGGTGCATGTACTTCCACGCTGCATACGCACTTTATCGTAATCTCTCGCTTTAAGAGTGATAATTAGCCAGAATCAATGACGCTAAGAGATAAGTTATGGCAAAGGATGGTAGGAGTGGATGGATTCTCGGTCCAGCAGAGGTCAGATGGGGAAAGGAGGTAATTTTCTGCTTCTGATTGCTCACTATTGTAAGGAGTATTTCGCATTACGAACCAGGGTCAACCGTCACGTTCGAACATTTTCAGGGATTTTTGCGACCCCCCCCTCTGGAGGGGGTCCAGTTGCGACCCCCACCAATACACAGTTGCGACCCCCCAATACAACCAGCCATCCCCCACCGCGACCTCTCCCTCTTTCTATAGTATTTGATTCTGAGACCAGTTGACACAGCCCAAAACCTACCTAAAACTCCGAAACTCCGCCTACTTTTTCCCCAAAAATAGCCGTCGAGCGGGGGGGGGGGGGGGGGGGGTATATACAACCACTGAAACGGCAACTTTTTTCACACACCCTCTGCCCTACCTGATGACCGAAGCGCGCAATGCGACCCCCTTTTCCCTCCCAGAGCCCAAATGCGACCCCCCCGTTCGAACTGTTCGAACGGACGGTTGACCCTGTACGAAGTTATCCGATTGTATAGGCCACATCGCATTCAAACGCCACTACGAATGTACAAATGGAAGTAGAATGCGTGCCGCATCCCAAAAAGGGATTGATCAACGGCAAATGCTTTATCCTTTTACCTTTTATTATAAGTCTCATAGCAGTATTTTTGATGAAGAAGGAAGTAGTACTCTACTAATAAGCAGTAAATGAGATGATTTCAAGGAAACTTGGATGTTCCAATCATACAATGTATATGCAACTTGTTTTGATGTAGCAATCAATTTCTAACCATCTCACTTTAGTGATTCGAAGATCAAACGAGAAGATTCTAGGGCCAGAATGACGGAGGCTGAATTGGATGCCGAATTGGAAGCATACATGTCAAAGCCACGAGCACAGTAGCTCCATTATGAGCTTCACTTTCCAATATGAACTCTAACGAGAACGACGGCGTTATCGTTCACCTTAGATCTTTATTTATGTTGTTTTGAGTCCACGTACCTGTATTATCTGATCTTTCTTTGAGACACAATATTTTACTAAAGTCGAATGATCGCTTAAAGCTGTTTTGGTGGCAAGTCCGTTTTTGCACTGTTGTACTTGAAATATTGTTGCATTTGTTTGGAAAATAAATTATGTTCCAGAATAGTGTTTACTTTGTGAAGAATAGCGCTTGCACAGCCCAATCATGCTTGCTAACTTGTCCGTTTTTTAGACATTCATTTGATCCCTGTGACCATTATGACTTTGCAGTAAAACGTTCACTGTCTTTTTACAGATAGTAATCAGTTGTTCTATGGCTTGCTTGTAATGCAATAACAATTTAACTAAGCCAGGGATATAACAGAGCTGGATTTTGCCGAAGATGAATGGTCCATCTGAAAATAAGTTTCCATTGGTTGGATTGTTTCGTTTCATAGGTATGCGATGTGTTTTCTCTCTATGGAAGGACAATGTTCAGTTGAACTCAAAATATAGGTTCACGAAACTCGCTAGAGGACGATGCACAACCCGTGGTAGAAGTCATAGAGCCACCGGATTGGAAGGATAATCTCGAATGCAAGAAGGAGGAAGTTGCGTTACCCAGAAATCGACTTCTTCATTGGGGCCCAATTGTCGCTCTTTCAATAACTTTTTATGTAAGTATTTTAATATTATATTAATAATATTTAGTATAAGTTTTATTTTTGCCTTTTTTTCGGTTTTTGTCTGAATCAATGTTGAAAATTGTCGCGTTAGGCTGCTTTTTTAGATTGGTGTTGTGTCTTCTTATTTTGCTGTGATGTGGTGGCCGTTGAATAGCTTAGGAGCGATTTTGAATATCACGGCGTTTCTGTTCTGGAATTATTCTACAATAGTGAATTTGTCAAAGGCTTCCTTTGTCGGACCCGGTCATGTTCCACTGCAGTGGCATCCTCGTGAAGATGAGGTTTGCGATTTCTTCAGTCATGCCCTCAATAATTCTTTTTATTAGTTAATTTTGTTGTTTTTTGTCCATGTATTTCTCTTCATTGCCTCTTTTTCTTGCTTAATTTTCTGCAAGATCACACAGACCTCTATCGGTCCCTCATTTCGTTTCCTACGTCCGTGATGCCGCACCACCGTTCCCCATCTGCAGTCAATATAGGAATTGATTAGTAAAGATCCATAACCATTGATGATCAGTTCTCACCACTTTCGATCGTTCGCCTCTATTCTCTCCATGTGAGGGTGCGGTCAGCCTTTACGAATGCCTTGCACTTCGTTGCAGTTCGAGTGTGGAGCAAAACGTAGCGATCAAAGGATCGTAAAATGGCACGGTCGTTTCATATCTACTCCACTTCCGAGCCACAAGACAGTCGCAAAGTATGACCGCATCCAACAAATGCGTGCACCTTTGTGCTAGTCGAACGGTTTAACGAAGTTCGTAATAATTGCCGTTTGACGCCAATGTGCATCGCAATTCCTCTTGCTGTGCGAGGACGAGGTTCAACCGTCCTTTGATAATCTAATCAACGAGGGGTCGTAGTTTGGTTTTTGTGTGTTGGTTATGGGAGTCGTATCTGATATTTTTGAAGAAGTCGTGCAGGTGTATGTGGGATCATGTTGCACTGAAGGGGAGAGGGATTTTTTTGACTGGTTTCCTAGAATGGCTAATACCTCAGAAGCAAGTGCAAAATGGAACAAGTCTGCAGCTGCTCCCACTAGACATATTTACCCCCTATGCACCGTTTTGGAGGAAAGAAATGGGAGTAGTTGAAGCGTGTCGACTGGTCCACAGTGAGGGTGGCGGTGCCGTTTCTTATTGTGGGAGGGGTCGTATTGAGACCCTCCAGAGGAAAAAGGCGTCAAACTATTGAAATTCTCCAATACGTCGCAGTTGACCCTGATTGGGACGCTATGGGGTACAGAATCTGCTCGGATATCGTCATCAGGAAAATGAAGGAGAAAACGCACCTAGGCATATGAAACATGGGAATGCAATCTCGTAAAGAAGCCGGGTGCTCAAACAAAGATGTTATGTTGGGTCAGGAAATGCGCAACACGGACTGCGTCACTAATGAGGAAGTTCTACGTCGTTGTGGTACGAATAACCTCCACCTGCTTGTAGCGCAGCGTAGGCTTCGACTGGTTGGCCTTATTTTGCGCATGCCACACAAGTGGATTCCACGAGTGGCCATGTACTGGATATCATCAAGAGTCTAAAGAAGAAGAGTCTGTCTCAGAAGTACGTGGAGGCGAAAGTTTGAGAATGATGTCAAGACCATGGATGTCTGGACGCGAATGAGAAGTGATTGCAGGAGGCCGGCAACAGTTGAAAGAATGTCACCCATTGTGCTCACCAACACGGGAGAAAGTAAGTTCAAGCCTGTGTCTAAGACACCTCACTTATAACTCTACCAGTTTAGCTCCGTTCGCAATCGCGTGTTTGTTGAAAGTAGGTTCCAGTAAAATTGGGCATGGTTGGGCATCTTGTATGAAGTAGCATTCTGCTTCCGCTCGCCCTCACTAGTGCTATTTACAGTCTATATCTCGCGGTCTGATTATGCAGGTCTATGAATTTCACGTGGCGGCCGCCGCACTTTGTAGAAGACGCACGGATAAGCTGCTTCCAGCATACTTTGCTGGAACTCAGCAATGCATCCTCTTAAACGCTTGTTCGAGCCAACGTTCAATTGTAGTTGTGACTCGCGTCATGAGTTCCCGCTCAAGTGGGTATACCCACAGGGACACCCATCTTTCGCGACTATCACAAGTTAGAGTCAATGATCTTTAGAGTCAATGATCTTTTATTATGCTTTCTTGAGTGAGCTATATGATAAAGAAAAAAGTGCCCTGGTAGCATGACTGATTACCACGGTGCCTCCATAAATCTCAACGTATTTTTGTATGTCTAGTGATATTTTATGTAGAAATTCTTTTCCGCCAATTTTGTTGTGAGCTTTAAATTTAGGACATTTCTCCAAAGGAGTCCATTGACACATTGCTGCAGTGGTGCGAGCCATGCTCTGGTTATAAAGTGCCTCGTTCTCATCATTGTTCCCATTGTGGTCGGTGCTGCATGAAGATGGATCATCATTGTCGTAAGTTAGAGTTTTGTTTCATTCTTCCCTTAACGGGAAGGTTTTTCGAATTTGGTTCTTCATCACCGTGACCCTTTCACAAAAACTCCAACTAACCCGAGTCTCTATCCATTATTTTTCACTTTCCTCTATAAAGCCACGGGTCGGAATTAAGTGCCAAGGCTAGTCTCTCCCTTGAGTGAGAAAGAGTGGCCCAAACCCAGAAATAGGCAACACTGCAGACGTCACTAATGTAGTAACGAGGCGCTAACGCCTTCCCTTGTACGCCGCGGGCGCTGCTTACTCTACCAGTCGCGGTATACTTGGCGTTTGCTCCATCGCGTGCGACATACTCTCTCGCGTTTTCCCTCTCCTCACAGCGCTGCGTTTCTTCGTCATATCACGGTCGACCACAGCATAGTTCAGAGTTTTCTATGGTTCTTGTTGCTTTTTCTCCCATTCACGTACCTCATTGCACCTTTTGTCCAATTTTCAAGCAGAATAACACCGAATCGACCCCGACTCGAGAATGTAATCAAATTTTGCGTGAGAAAGAGGAACTACGAATAGGATTTATCTTCATTCAAATTCAATGCATATTTCGTAACAAACGACCTGAGCTCAAAAGGTCTCATTGCGGCGGTGTTGAAGAATTGGACCGTTTTGTGAAGATTTGCTAGTCTTTGAAAGTCCTTGAGTTCAGCGTGGATAAACAACTGCGTCGGTCATCGAAATCATGCGCTTTTTGTTAGATTTCTCGTATCTGCAGTAATTGGATGTATTCATGCGTTGGTGATCCTCACTGCGGCTTTCTATCATGCTATTCATTTCGTGAGTTCTATGTGCAATTTATTTAAGACAATATTTCATCATTTTTTCATTCATCATGTAGTTACTGTGTAATTTTATTCATTTACGTTCATAATGGTAGATTATTTTTAGAACTATTATTATCGATACGGTGATGGTAGTGAGCCTATGATACTTTTAACTTTTTGGTCTTTAATTGCAATGGTAATTGCCAGTGCATTCGCATTTGGCGTTGTTGTTGGCGTTGGTGGCCTTCTCTATCTTCAGCTCAAGTATATTAAAAACAACAAGACCGGTATAGAGGAATATATAGGTAATCTATGTTCCGTTTCTAATTATTCGTGATTTGCCTTCGTGTTGAATACATCCCATTTTCCTCAGCCTTATTATTTCAGTGACTGTTAGTATGAAAAGTCGTGGCGTTTCAGAACAAAAAGCTGTCTCCTATCGTAAGGAAGAAGATTGCGATTGGGAGGACTTTATTTACCCATACGATCTTGGATGGAAGCGTAATTTTAGTGAAGTTCTCTTTTCGTGGTCTGGAGAGTAAGTACTTGATAGAAATGTGTTTCAAAGTTCTCTTTAGTAGAAGCTTGGACATACATTTTTCAGAACAACAGGCAATGGTGTCTGGTGGCCTGTACGAAAAGGATGTGACCAGTTTTCTTTGTCGGTGAGTTCACATTGTTCACGCATTATCGGCCTTTGGAAAAAGCTCAGTTACGTTGGGATTTATTCTTCCCCACCCCCT